AAAAATTGATTAAATTTACCTCGTTCTCGTAGTTTGAAACCGATGTAGGCCTTTTTGCTGGACTCGCTGGGGTCTAATTGAATAGGGTTGAGGTCCTCTATAGTTGAGTCCGCTATTTCAACTATTTCGGGATCCATGATGATGTCCCTGGTCTTTTCTTGCATCGACCTCGACCCTGATGATTGCTACGCCTCTTTTCCGTGTCTTTCTTCTGTTGGATTGTCGTATTGTCTGAGGCGATGCGGTATAATTCCCACGGCATACATTGCTCTCCCCGTATGCTGAATATCCCCCAAGGTGTTGGGAATTTGACTACTTGATATAACCTGTAGGAGACAACTCTTATGTGACGTATCCATGGTTGTCCTACTATGGAATTATATTCGGTGGCCTGGTCCATGATGTGGAATGTTGTCTTCATAGTTATGCCGCCGGCCAAGACGGGGAGTGTAATTTCACCCGATGTCTATTCAACTGCATTATTAAAACCAGTTAGTGTGATGCAGCGCGGCACTATCTTATCCTCGAGTATCATCTGGGTGAAGATTTGGGGATGGTTAATGCACGCTCCACTCCCGTCGTTTAACATGATACGTTTGACATCAGTATATAAAATTCATAAAGTAATGATGCGAGCATCATTGTGAGGGAAAGTCAAACCGTCGGCATTTGACTCGTCGAAGATGATACTTTCTTCGAGTTCGTCATACCGTTCGTAGGTGATAGACCTTTTTGAGCTTGTGAGTGGCAGTGAATTTGACGCCGTTGATGGAGGAATCGTCGCTTCCACCGATGATCATGTTATTGGTGTGAGCTGGTGACATCGGCTTTGGCGGGCCTTGGTGTTCACGACCTCTAGCGAGGTTATTTTTCCCCTTGTCGCTCATCAGCTCTTTGAGGTGTCCATGTTGCAACATGATCACAACATCTTGCCTGAGGGCGATGCAGCCTTCTGTCTTGTGTCTGCGTTCCTAGTGAAATTCGTAGAGGGCGTAGGATTTTCTAGTGCTTGGGTCGGACCTCATCTTTGGCGGCCACTTCACCTTCGTTCGAGTTTTATCAGGGCATAGACTATTTCTGTAGGTGACACACAAAAAGTATGAGTAGACAATAAAGGGGTCATACCTCTCTTACTTCGGTGAGTCCCCGTCCTTGGCCTAGATAGACATTCATCATATCAGAAAGAGGGCTTGGCGGGGCCCCTGACGTATGTATGATGTCGTTCCCTGTTCGGTCGTGAGATCGGGTGATCTCTCCTTACGTTATCTCTTCGTTATTTCCTAGGCTCAGCTTGTACTGAGATGAGACGTCGAGTTGGTCTGTTACGGTCATCATCATCTACTCAGACTTCGGCACAGTAAGCATTATAGATTTCATCCCAAGTGGTTGGAGGATACTTCATCAACCGACTCAACAAATTTATGGTCGCTCTTGAACTCTCTCTACTCAACCCATTATGAAAGGCCGCGACTGCCATCACTTCGGACACGTTCGGTAGGGTCATCCTTACCCTGTTGAATTGGGCGAGAAAGTCCCTTAGTCCCTCTCCCAAGGACTGCTTGATGATAAAGGTGTCATTTACTCTTGTTTCGGCTTTCTTGGCCCCAACATGTGCCGTTACGAACTTATCGGCCATTTCCTCGAAGGTTTCTATAGATCGGGCCGGTAGCTGTGAGTACCATGTTAAAGCCTCTCCCGTAAGGGTTTCGCCAAATTTCTTCAGCAAAATAGAGGACACTTGTTCGTTGGTGAGGTCGTTGCCCTTAACGGCGGCGGCATAATAAGTCACGTGATATCTGGGGTCAGTCGTTTCATCGTATATCCTAAGATACGACAGCATTTTGAAGGTCTTTGGTATGGCATGCGTGGTTGCTCCCTCGCTATACGGTTGTTCTACGAATCTACCAGCGTCCCTCTTTGGCATTATCTTAGGGGCACCCAGTATCTTGTCGACTCGTTCTTGGTGTTCTATCATTTGATCTCTGACCGATTTATTTTCATTCTTCATTTCTTCCATCCTCTTTAGAACAGCCACGATGACGTTGTTGCCTGCATTGTTAGAAATATTGTGAGTCATACCTGGTGTGGGAGGGTCAGGTTGGTCGCCCTGTTTTTCTGCTTGTTGCACTGTATGGGTTCTTGAGGTCTCTGTTGTTGTGTATGGAACAGGTTTGTTGAGCACGCTTGCTAGTGTATCGGTCAACATGGCCGACAACGTACCCTCTCTTGTGGACGTAGAGGCCCCTTTTCCATTTAGTTTTGTTATGTTGTAATGGGGAGAGGCGACCTCTCGCGCCTGGGGGAGGTAGTGGGTGTCATGTAATTGCCTAGCGTTTCACAACTTTCGTTGATAGAGTTCATAAGATTGCCAGGGAAGTCACATGTCACTTTAGTCTTATCTCCTTAGTTACCTGCCATGTTGGTTGCCGCACGTGTATAGAAAGAGAAAGATCTTGTGATTTGTTAGGTTAGTGACTCACGTGAGTTGTAAATCTACAGGAAACTAAAGCATTAGTTAAAAAGTCCCCACAGACGGCGCCAAATTATTTGAACCAAAAATTTAGATCTGGTCTCATCCAAATAAATTTAAGTAAAATAGAGTCATTCTTAGCTAATAATAATATCCAAAAGACAAGATTATTGGTTTTATGGTAGATGATATGTATATTTGGTCGGGTGACAATAAATACGAGCAATAATAACAGTATTCAATGATCCAAAAGGGTGGAAGATAGCATTAACTAATAACAAATAACAATGAATAGTATTGAAGTAAATAAAAATATGTGAGTCACCCGAATAGGGGTGGGATCTGCAGATATTCTTTCTGACAATGATGAATGATTGATGAGCCTTGGAATACTCAGGTTGCTCTTGGATCAAGTCGAAATGTTAGACAAGAATCTTAGTAAAAAGGTTATTTTCGTATGCTTGTAATATGGTCTGATTCTTTCTATAAAGTCAATGTGTTTTCTTACAAATGAATATCTCATGTCCCCTATCATTATGCCTTTTTCTATTTATAGGGAACATATTCCTAAAAATTCTAATAATACAGGTATAGAGATTATCCACTAGAATATTTTTTTTTTGTGTCATATCCTAAAACTAGCCGTTATAACTCTATCTAAGATGCTCGACCTCGACCTTGATCTGCGATGACTTCCCAACCTTGATCCTTGCTAACTCTTCGTCCGCACCCTTCATCGCTTCAGGAACCACTTCGACCTTGGGCGGGTTTTTATTGAAATTATAGTGATGACACATGGCGGTCTGTGAATGCCTACTTAATGTTAACATGGTTTGATCATATGAGAGATAAGTTTTGACCAATATACAAATAAGTATTTCTAATTTGACTCCTCGCAATACGCCAATACCTCTAGACTCACACACCACCAGTTTAGAAAAAACTTTAAGCGTCTGTAAGCAGTGGCGTACGCAAAATTTTCTCTAAGCGGTGTCATATTTAAAGAAAGAAAAAAATTACCTTTTCGATCGTGCTTCAACCTTGGTGTATCCGCTCGAGTGTATATCTTATACTTGAAAATACATTTTCTCCCGCTTGATTAATGCATTTAGTCTGAATCAAGTAATTATAGAAGCAAAAAGTCACATATTTGGTTACATTATACTCCAACCCATAATGCTTAACAAACCATTGAAGATCAAAGCAACAAATTTATCATATATTTTTTTCGAGAAATATTATAATTTCGAGGTCGAAAAAGACCTTTTTTAAAGATATGCTCTTCTTATTGCATCATGGTTATTTGAATAATATTTTTGAGTTGTCAATCTTTTTTCAGGGTCAACCTTTAAGGAATTTAAATCAACTCTTTCACTTTGTCGATGTTGCTCCGACCATTGGCTCTTTCTTCCAAGTTAGATGAATTTTGAGATTTTGAACTTGATTTTTAAAATTTGAAAGATGATTTAGGATAATGTATTGAAATTTAAGTTGAACTATAAAGTAAAATATCTATTTGAGAACCCCAAATAATTTATATAGTACATTCATAAAATAAAACTATTTTAAGAAGTTCTAACAAAAAAGTGAAAGAATCAAAGAATGAAAAAGTAACAAAATAACTTAATTGACCCATAAAATAATAAATACAATGAAAGCCGAAGTGTTTAAAGCCGATGAATGAAACACTCTCCGGTCTCTATCCCAAGAGATGCATTCTTCTCCGAGTAGTGGATCAAATTCTTGTCCTTATTTTTAGCCAAAATCCTCAAAAAGAAGAAGAGAGGATATAAAACCCATAAGGCATGTTCGATCCTGCCACCTTGCCCAAAGAAATCAAGCACTATACCAACCGGCCAAGAAGCGCTTGATAGGTGTCACAATTAATAATTTTTCTAGGTTACATGGTATTTTGTAGATTATTTATATAATACCTTTAACAAAAATTTACGACGAAGTGATGTCACGTGGCATTGCTTCGCTCTTACTGTATCCGGCCATGTCTGTGAGATGTAGCGTGGGGTCAACACCTAAGGAAGTAACTCTTTTACATATATTGCTAATGTATGTCTTTATTTCATGTTTTATTATATAAATTTTTTTAAATATTTTTGTATAACTTATGCGGACATTTGCAATGCAAAAAATTTAATAGGTCAATTAAACGCCACTTTTTTGTACGACCAACCAAAAATGGTATCGGATTATAACTTACACAGAATTTTAAGTTAAAGTTATTTTTGTTTATACGTTGAACCAAACAATCGCTAATATAATTAAACAAACAAGTCCAAACTTGTTATTTTTTTTTCTTTTTTCTTTTTCAGAAGCCGATATCTTTTGCTCTAAATTTTATACTACTTCTTACGTGGTAAGTAAAAAGCTGACAAAAGCGAGAGGAACATGTACACGTAGGCACCTACGTCAGTCTGACTGGTACAACATTAACACGTCAACGTTAATTGGTCGCGGTCCGGTGGGTGGATTATATTTCATGTCTCTCAATACTCCACCAGTCAATAGTCAAAGGCACCATGTGTGCGACAGAGCACTGCCAAGAATATTAATTAGAAATTCTGGTTTTATTTAAGCAGAAAGAAATAGCGTCAAGTTTTATTCCAGTAGGTACGCTGAATTTGTTTTTGCTTAGTTTATATTCCAAAAGATTAAATCCCAAGGAAGTTTCATTCTTCATTTTTGACTACTAACATATTCATGTAATTTAGTGGAAAGTACTTGTTCTAGTACTTTTCTCATAAACCCATTCTCTTAGTGGAAAATCTCAATCCTTAATACTCCCACTATGTGCCCTTTTGTCCTTATTTTTTTAGGACCATTCGTTTCCAACAAAACGCGTAAAAGTGTAAATTTTCTATTCAGAAACTCTATTTTTGATATCTTATCATCTCATCCTCCCTAACTTAGTAACTTTACTATGTTTTGTAGATATTTTTTGTTCTTTTCCTGACTCAAAAGATATTTGATGAGAGAGCTCCAAGAAACAAGCACAATCTTGGCTTGAGGTTTCATATACTTTCTTGCTTCTTCATCTAGACACTCTGTTTAATCCCTTTTGTCCATATCTTTAGCACTTAAACTTTGTGTTTGTCATGTTGCTGTTTTAACATTCTATTTAACAGTATTTGGCAGTTGATGTCTAGATGATTGTCTTGTACTGTGTACACTCTATTATATTGTTGCAATCATGTGATTTGTGGATGTTTGCCTTAGTTTTCTGGAATTTGTCCCCTGATGCCTTCTAATCTTTTAATGTTAGTGACCGTATAAAAGGTTTAAGAGAAGTACATCCCAATTTTGCGTAAACATTGAAGTTGGTGTCTTTTTGCTGAAACATGTCCTATTTCATTAGAATTCTTGGGCTGTTGAGGACTTGATGTTAATCTATGAGGTATATTCTGGCTACTAGTCTTGGTTTCTGAATTTCTGATCCAATCAGAAAACATATAGAAAGAAAGGGGGCGGAGAGGCCTCTTGATTACCTATTTCATCAGAAAAATAGAGCTTGAGGTTAGTTTCAAGATTCAGGAGGAAGGATCATCCAAAGTTTAGGCCTTTGACTTTAACCCAACCTGTTGTACCTTTTGCCTGGAAATGGGTGATGATAAATCAGTGGTCACAGTTCCTGATGGGGAACAACACATAATTGCTGCAGCTCATCACCTTGTGAAGGCGTTACGAGCCAGCACGAGCTTGAGCATTGAAGTTAGAAGAAGTCTAGCCGATCTTGACATTCACTTGGCTGCAATGACTGAAGCAAAAGAGGATGAGACCTCAAGTCTCAGAGAGATTGAAGGTAGGTTCAAGTCAGCTCAGGTAAAGATCTTGACTTTGCAGTCGAATTTCTTGAAGATATGGGATGCTGGTCCTTCACAACTTCTTGAGTACCTGCACGCTGTAGAAGAAGTTCGAACTATAACGGTGACCTTGCAAAGCGTGGCTCCAAACCATAATGGGAAACAAAACAGACTAGCTAATCAAGCTCACAGTGTGTTGCAAATGGCAATGGCAAAACTGCAGGAAGAAGTTATCAACATTCTTGCACAGAATAAGCTGTGTTTTGGGCATGATTATGTGTCATTCCACTCGTGTGAAGAGTTCGTTGTGGATGAGGAGTCGATGGTTTCAACTGAAAATGATTCAGTTGTGGGAACTTCTTGCAGGGAGAGTAGTGGAGCTGAATCAGAAGAATGTATAATGGATTTGGTTCATCCATATATTGTTCCTCATGTCAAGTCTATTGCAGATGTAATGTTCGCTTCACATTACGATCAGGAATTTTGCCAGGTCTTTATCAGATTCTGGAAAGATGCATTAAATGACTACTTAAGGCTTTTCTGTATGCAACAAACCAGCATTGAAGATGTGCTGAGAATGGATTGGACTTGTTTGAGTTGCAGAATAAAGAAGTGGCGCCAGGCAACGAAGAACGTTATTGCATTCTATCTCCCTAGTGAGAAAAACCTCTTTGATCAACTTCTAGGTGAGTTTGGATCTGTTAGCTCAAACTGTTTCATTGAAGCTTCAAAGGATGCAATGTTGTGTCTTTTAAATTTTGGCCAAGCTGTAGCTATTGGCCCCCTTCGGCCAGAACGCCTTTTTTGTTTACTTGATATGTTTGAGCTTCTAAGAGATCTTTGTCTAGACGTGGATGCTTTGTTTTGTGAAAATCAGGGTAGTTTCATTAAAATGGAGTACCATGAACTCCTGAAAAATCTTGGAGATTCTGCAAAAGCAATCTTTCTGGAGTTAGGGAATCACATTGCTTCAAACACTTCAACAACTCCCTTCTACGGAGGAGGTGTTCATCCTCTTACCAAGTACGTTATCAATTATTTCATGCTTCTTTCAGAATATTGTGATACCTTGAAGTTCCTTCTTGAGGACAGAGAGGTACAGAATTTGGAAGGCGTTGTTGATGCTATGGCCAGGCTCGACGTTTCTTCTGAATTCTCATGTCCATTGGCTCTTCACTTGCAGTCAGTAGCATCCATGCTTGAATCCAACCTTGACAAAAGGTCCAATTTATATAAAGATGGTTCTTTAAAGCACATATTTCTGATGAACAACATCCATTACATGGTTCAGAAAATCAAGAACTCCAAAATTAGAACTTGTTTTGGTGATGAATGGATAAAAACACNCTTAAAGCACATCTTTCTGATGAACAACATCCATTACATGGTTCAGAAAATCAAGAACTCCAAAATTAGAACTTGTTTTGGTGATGAGTGGATAAAAAACCGTATTGTAAGATACGTGCAGCACGAAAAAAGGTACGAGAGAATAACATGGAGTCCTATCTTGTCTTTGATTACCGGTTATGAGAAATCAGGAAAGACAGTTCTCAAGGAGAGGTGCAGAAATTTCAGTATTGCTTTTGAGGATGTGTACAAGAACCAGACAGGATGGACTATCCCAGATATTGAGCTTAGAGAAGAATTGAGAATTTCAACAGCGTTAAAGGTTGTTCATGCCTACAGGCCATTTATTGGACATGTGAAGAAATCTATTAGTGACAAGCACATAAAGTATACTGAAGATGAGTTGGAGAAGTATCTCCTGGATTTTTTTCAAGGTTCAACAAAGTCACTGAATCATCATCAATGGAGGAGGTGAAAGTTGAATTTTTATGGTTGAAGTGTATGCTCTTTTTTCATGCATTCATATGTAATTTATCAACTAAGTAGTGACTTGGTGTCTTTGTACCCTTTCCTTTCCCCTTGTATAGCTGCTGCCTATAGTTCTCCAGTTTAATCTAGTATCATCATGACCTTTTTGGTATATGCATTCCTTTTAATTTGATGGTTTCAACAGAAGATGGCATTTATTGATTTGTTTCCAATTAACTTGGACAGAAGAAGAAGTTGTTGTTCCTTTCCTCTTTGTCCAATTCATAACTTCTTCCTTAGTGCTGGTACATAGGATTCTTGTAGATTAGTGTACCAGTCTATTATCTGATTTCCAGAAATAATTGTTCCTTTCCGCATTTATGGAACCCTCATTTTCAATAATTCTGCATTAAATACCGGAATGAATTGTTAAATGTCATTTTCTCTAGAATTGACCTAAAAATGGTCATCCCGTAAACATGGTCGGCTTGTATGCTTCATAATCAATGTGAGAGTCGCTCCAATTCTTCTACTATTGCAAAAATGCAAGAGCACTTCTATTGCATTTAACAACTCAAACTTCAGAGTAGAGCTGGGAATCCAAGGAAGGAACATATAATTGTAGGTAATACTTAAATCGTTCACAGTTACTACCTTTCGCCAGTACAGAGAAACGTCAAAAAAGAACGACAAGATTTTACCATTAACAGCACCACTATAGAAGGAAGTATTTTACCAACAAAAAACAAAACATCACAATCTTTGTGTACTCAGGTCCATTGATCAATGATCTGATAAAATCATGCTCAGTCTCGTACAGTATCTCCAGAAATATACTTGATTCAACATGATTCTTTTCCAAACAAGAAGAAATTGCAAGCATAAGAGAAACTTTAGTCATTTACGGGCAACTGCAACTTCTCCGATGAGTTTGCAATGACTTTTATACAAGAAATACACACTTCTCTAAGTAACCTTCGACATGAATAATACGTCTAAAATCCAAATATTCCTTGTCTGTCCAACCAATCACAAGTATAAAGAACAAATAGCGGAATAAAATAGATAATTAGACATAATGAATTTGACAAAGAATGTAAATGGAGGCAGAGATATCGTAAGATGCCAACTCCAGCTTTGGAGAGTAGAGACTTCAGACCTTCCTTAGTATTCCCCTTTTTCTGTATTATAGATGAAATGACTCCTATCAACTTCATGGGAAAATTTGGCAGTAGATTAATAATAATTGTCGAGTTCCCATATTACCGTTTCAAATAAGGAAAATAAGGACTAATAATATGTGTTAAGGGCTTAATGTTCTAGTCATCAATTTGAGCGAAAGTTATAGTTTCCATGACTATAGCGGCAAGCACACTGATGAGCCATGTTGTTTCAAACGGATCAAAACTTACTTTAACAATAGAATAAAACATACTCTCTGCTGAAATTTTGATAATAAAAGGTATTTGAAGCACATTTTCTCTGGAATGGAAAGAAGAAACTCCCCCTGAAAATTACTGTTACCATTCTCAAAGAAACTCCCCCTGAATATTGTCAAAGGCACTCAAGCAATTTGACGTCAATATATGTCAGAAGTTCACGACATAAAAGTAACACAGCAAAAGGCAAAAAGGATGCGAAGATGAACAATCTTGTGATTTTGTATCACCTTTGTGTTTGTGAAGGTCAATCATGAAAGACAACATTAATTATATTCCAGAAATGCACGTCTCTCAGACAATGACTGTAAACTACATCTGACTCAAAATAAAAAGATCAACAGAGAATTTTTTGTTTGATGACCGAGAAATCCATTTGGGACCAACCGCACCCTTCGAAACTCAGGATAATGGGTCTGCCCCTCTACCCTTCTCCACTTAGATACCAGGCTTAATTCGCATTGTGCAGGGCTCAACATGTGACCTAAGTCATAAATCCCTCAACCTTTTCCACTTGAACCAAACGTTAGGGGCAAGATCAACCCCGAGATTATTTTTCCTAGATCGAAGATGTCAATCACTTCTATGAGTGATCCTTTAAAAATAGAAAAATACTTCAAAGCTTGTAGAGATTTGGGATCTTACTGAATCCTACACAATTGGTTGTGTTCAGAAAGAATATAATCAATTTCTTTCTTGCTTTAGGTTACTGGTCACTATAAGCATGTTTGCAGACTGCCAATGCAAGAATATTGATAGTTTGTGTCACGTGCCAATTATAAAAGGCGTTTGTATGATATGCATCCACCGCTATAAAAGGCATAAACTATGTACCAACATGTTGGCATATAATGGTATTCTACGGTCTAGTTTAGTACATACCACCACTAGCTCGTGTATCTCGTATCCATGGAGTAGCGCTTGTGCATTTCGGACATCTTGAACCACTAGCTGCTTTCTTTTATTTGACAAAAACACTTACCATGCTACAGATAATCTATCCATACATGCAATTCGGCCAACTTGGAACATGGTCAAAATAATAAAAAGATGTTATAACAGATATGAGTGAAGAATTATTATTGATTGAAAGTAGCTCCATCAATTGACGGGGAAATCATGTTCCTAAAACATCAACAGGTTCATAGAACATTGTACAACAAATGTCTCGAGCAATAGCCGAGTTAATAAGTAAAACACGACACCTAGCATAACAGACACAGGAAGAGCAGGCAAAGCTTTCTGATACAATGCAAGAAGCATCAGAGTGATACCAAGACCAGCTATAATAGCAAGGTAGCATGCATAAACTGTCATGAAATCGTACATGGCAGCCCTGGCTACTAATACACTGTAGAATATGAAGTCTCCTAGCCCCAGCTTAATAGCACCTGAGGATCCCAACCCGATTCCTTCAAGTACAAAATCATCATTTGACCCTTCCTGTAAATTCATTCTGACATTTATCCTATGTTGAATTAGCGGTGCAGCCAGCTCAGACTCAGCTCTTAAAACTTGACCGTCCTCCACATCAGCCGCATTCCTCTCATTCTCATCACTGCCGATTGACGAAAACCTTTCAAGACCAGAATTAGATTCCAAACTAGAATTGACAATTGCATTCAAGTTAGACCTAGAGTCTAAATTTTCATTGGAGCCGAAATCATTGTCCCGTCTTTCTCTCCAAACTCTCCTTTGCACAACAGAACCCCTCGGAACTGAATCATGATTAATAACCGGCCTAGCCTCGTAAACCAAAGCAGGAATATCTTCATCCCTAGATATTGCAAGCTCAACAAGTAGCCTTAGGGGCCCACCAGGTAACAAAACAGCAGCAAGGTCATACAATGACATTGCAACCAAAAGCACCCAAGTAGTCCATTCAGGCAACATTGTAAACCAATAAGCAACCAAAACTCCAATAACAACCAAATATCCTTGGGTAACTATAATTGCTGTCTTTGACATAAACACAGCCAAAACCCCAACAACAGTGAAATTGAACAAACTCAATGCAAAAGTAATGCAATCAATTGGAATTTTGAATTTTGATATCAAAAATAGAGATATTTCGCCACCCATGAATCCCAAAACAAGACAAGACGAGAAACCCATGTAGTATTTCAAGAATTTGGTGCATCTGAAGTAGAAAAGTAACACCAAAAGGAATGTAACAGCAGTAACAACCACAACAAATACCAAAGCATTCAAAAGGGCACCTTTCAATTTGTCCCACGTTGAGTCTGAGCTGCTCTCAGTGTAAGCAATTGTGGCTACAGATGTAAATGAGGGGCCTGAGGAATCTGAATCAGTGTTTAGTACTGAAACAAGAATGACCACTATGAGCATGCAAATTGAGACCGGTATGACGATTCTAACTATTTCTTCACCCAGTGAATCAAGAACGCTTTTGGGCTTTGGATTTTGTTCCATTGGAATTGGAGCTCCCAAAAAATTTGCCTTTTGATTTTCAGTGGTCAGTTGATGGTCTGTGAGAAAATTTGGGTATTTCCAATTTCGACTTTGGATCTCCTAATAGATGTCGAGACAACCCGACCCGAGTTAGACCCGAGTTCGGAAGCTGGCCTAATACATGAGTCTGGCCCAACTAAGCGAGGAGTGATATCTCTAAATACGCACTGCACCATAGGGATCGTTTGGTTGGTGGGACGCATGGGCGGCTCAAGGATATGCATGCCTAAAGCAAAAGTTTAATATGGGGTCTAAATTTTTAAAAGATAGTTATAACATACGTTTTATTTGAAATATATTCTTCTAACTTTTTGAAATACAAAGTTGTTAATAATTATTTTTATAATCGATTTTCTCTAATTATCTTTACTCAATTGATAATATAGCCAGCTCATTTAATTTTTCTTGAGATATTGTTGCTATTAGATAATATTTTATAGAGCAATAGAAATATAGAATTATTGGAAGCTTAAAAGTATTGTTGAACAGTGAAGCTAATGAAATCTTGTAGAAAGAAAGTGAGTAATGAAATATTGGAGAAAGAAGGTGAGTACGAATATTAAAGAGAAAGACAGAAAATATATAGGGGTTTCTGAAATATAAAGAGATTAGAGAAAAGAAAGATTAACTTAGACATATTAAGAAAGGGAGTGTGAATTTTTGTATACATTATCTAATGAAAGAGTAAAACTGAAACGTTGCGAAAACTATTCATCTATCAATTTTTAAATATGTTAAATTATTACTTTATTTACATATCTAAAGAGCTCTATTTCCTTTTTATATTAAAAACTCTAATTTTGTATTAAAAAGTACTAATTAAATATTTATTTTTTAAATACCTATAAACCTATTCTTTTTAAAAAATGGCCCCCCCCCCCCCAAATTTGGGGGCCTAAGGCACATGCCTTGCCCCTCATCATGTTAGAGCCGGCCCTGGTGGGACGGATAATAATATTCCAATATGAGATAATTAATCTCACAATTTTACTATAAAGTGATTCTCGAGAGTAATTAATACTCATGTCCAAACGCAAAATAAAATAATCTCGTATTTTATCTGAAAATTGTTATTTCTTTTTCCGCCGACTAAATGACCCCTAATTTACTATTAGTTGAGTGAGTATTTCTCAAAGATTTTAATCATTACATTAAAGACATTATATGTAGTTCTCTTTTACCTTAATTAGTTTGTTTTAAGATAGACGAGAATTGGACCTACATATTAGATGTAACTGCTACATATTAGATGTATGATATTGCTTAGCACTAACTTTTCTTATTTATGGAGAACAGCCATGCATAACAATTCGAATTCGAAGATTTAACAATCAAGATAACATTATATTAATTATAGAAGATTTAAGGTCGGTGAAAGCAAAATATAAAGGAAAAGGTATTACTGAAATTAATATTGATCTAAGATCACATACATTAATGCATATCTATATATTAGAGTAGAAGTTTTGGACTCAGCAAAAATACTCAAGAGTAAAGACAATAAACTACACTTTGAACTCTATATTTCGAGCAAACAAATTAAGTAGGAGTGGTAATTATTGCAAAAAAGTGATCACAGCTTTTGTAATCAATTTATAAGGAACTTGGCTAACATTAAATAATATTCCAAAGACAGCAAACTTCCACATAAAAAAGTTTCAAATACTCTTTTCCAACTTTAACTCAACTAAATATTGTCCAAAAATAAATGTTTAAAAGAGAAAAAAAAACCCTAGTGTTTAAGGGTTTGATTGTCCATCTCCTTAGGGTCGAGCATTATTAAACCGGTAACAATGATAGCCAACGCACAGCACAAGTTAACGAATCTGGAGACAAATGAGCCAAAATCCTTCCCAATTACAAGGAGCACAGGAAAATAGTTGACATAAAGCAGCACGATACCAACCACAATTAAAAGCGTTGCTAATTGTTGTTCCTTCTCCCTTTTCTCATCAATTTGATTTTCCAGCATAAATATCCATTCGTCTTCAACTGCTGCCTCTTGTTGCTTCCCACGTTTGAGAAAAGAAGAAATTAAACCGAGAGCCTTGTTCTTCTTTTCCATTGTGTTATAATTTGGAACAAAACTAGTCCCCTTTACCCTAGTCATGACAATTAATACATGAATTAATAACCAAGACGACAACAATCAACTATAAAAGCATTTTTTTAAAAAAACAGCAAGGGATGATCTAAAATAATTTGAACTCCATAACTAAGCCAACATGCTATATACATGAAAACGAAGAGAAAAAAGTAAAACATAAAACTAAAACCAAAAAGGGAATCAGCTTATGAACAAAAAAAATAAAGTAGTAGTATTAATTATCGAAAGAGGAGAGGGGAGAGAAGTCTAACCTCTCAAGTGTAAAGCTTTGTCAATTCTTCACAGTAGGCGAAACCTAATTATGAATGATCATAAAGCAACTACGCACAATATATAAACTCTCACCCCCAAAAGAAAAGGTAAAAAGTTTAAGTGTTTTAGTCCTAGGAGATTTAGGACGCCTGATCTGTTAATCATTTGCTATAAGTCGGGCTTAAGTTTAATTAGATAATGACCCACATTGGATGCATGTGCACTTTTTAAAGTTTTTTATTATCATTTTTTATACATATAATTCTAAAATCATAAAGTCCATAAATAACATTTTAAGAGCTTTTGGAAAAGGATTATTAAGAGAAAATTTGTAATTTCTGAAATAACGGGCTAAAAGTAAGAGAAGAAACTTGTTAGGGAGAAACTAAAATAGGAAAAGAAGGTAAATCCCATGTATGTTATTAGTAAGCCCTTACTTAAGGCGCAAGATACATCTTAATCAGTAAATTATAACTTCTTCATCCTCTTTTTAATTTTTTTAATTGTGTCTAACAACCTTGGAAGGGTTTTGTACTAAACCTTATTAGTAATAATATAAGGTTCTTTTTTACCATAGCTACCCCCCCCCCCCC